GATTCTGTGGACATGTGAAACTAACAATTCAGAAACTTTTAGGACACAAGACCTTTAAATGTGCAGTTCAATGTTACCATATAAACTGCACATTTAAAGCTTTTTTCTCTAAAAAGAGGAGTAACTTTAACTTTTGTTACTGTGGATGATCACAAAGTCAGCCTTCTACACACATCCTTATTGTCTTTGTATGTGTGGTCGTTTTTTCTGCAGACACACTGATAAACAGAAACCAAAGAAATGTTTTTCCTTCATAATCCAAGTCAAGTGAACTGACCTTTTAAACTGTAGTTTGCAGTGTGGACTCTCCAGGTAATCATACAGCTGTTTCATCCCTGAACCCTCCAGGTTGCATGCTATTAGATCCAGACGTTTCAGATAGGGGGGGTTGGACTTCAGAGCACTGAGCAGAGCAGCACAGCTGTTCTCTGGCAAAGTGCTGTTCTCAAATCTGAATAAAAATCATGTGAATTACAGAGTGTTATTTTACTAAATTACCTTTATCTTTTGAGAAACCAAGTAAACAGCTAATTGAGGTGCAAACTATACAGAATATTGTCAAGTGCAAACATGCAAAAACACACACACACACACACACATTTGGTACTCGGCAAACCCAGTGTTTTGTGTTTTCAATGCACATGAAATTAATTAGTTAACTAATTAATTTCGTAAGTCTAACTGATTAATTAATTAGTTCCCGAGGGTCTTTCGTAAGTCAAAAATTTTCGTAACCACGCTTGCACAGCACACTTTGTAACCATATATAGTAATTTGTCTTAGTTAACACTGCAACAAGCTTTATGAATATTCACTCTCTGAAGGTATAAACCCAAGACTTGAACATGCCCCGAACACCATTGTGACACACAATAACATGACATGGGGTGGTACAACCTGACACTGACTGGACAGAAAGACACAGACTAAATACACACAGGGGGTGATCAAAATAAAATGAAACACAAAAACACTGGGTCACCCAGAACCGTGACAGGGTTTTTAGTTGTTTCACAGTCTGGTCACTGCTTAGTCAGATATTTAGTTTTGCCCCACGGGTATCTTGTGTTGTATTTTTGTTTCTCGTGTTTCAGCTCAATAAAGGCTCGCTTTTTATTCACGTTCAAATTCTGTTCTCCTGTGTCTGCATTTAGGTCCTCCACTCATACTCCATATGGTCTGTCCACAGACCATGATAGTAACACCCTTAAACAAAAAC